CGGGGTATGGCTTCGAGACCAGCCAGAGCAGATTTCCCTTCAACTATAGGATGCTTAGATTGGCTCCATTGTTGGGGCAAGGCCGCCCTGTTTGCGCTGCAGTACGCGCCGCATCACACGCCTTATCGTTTGCAGGGATCATGGCTGTATATACAATGTGAAATTTGAGCTCTTAATCTAGTGAGTCCGACTGTTCGGTGGGGGGAGGGGGGTGTAATAGCATGTAATTTCTGCATGAAAGGTATAATTTCAGGTGATTTTGCTTGATGTTCGCCATATAAAAAATCGCCTTCCGTAGACAGACGGTTTCCTTTTGAAGACATCAGGTTACTTGATACAAAGACGTCTACTTCGTTTTCAGAAGTTGGTCTTTCCATTTCGATATCACCGTAAATCTCATATTAAAGTCCATCTCATATTGCTTGTTGTTGTATGATCGTTGAGATTTCGTTGTGCTGTATAAGCCGCATGGTGATTCGTGCTCTATCCATCCTATAAGTCATCATTGTTGTCAGTGACGTTATTAAACCACTTATCTATCCTCGATTTCCGTCATACTGCAATTTATACGACACCTATGATTTAGTCAGCGTCAATTACTACACTCTACGCTAGGCTGTGCATTTTGTTTGGTACGGAAATCGGGGCAAACGCTCACTGAAACAATGTATTCCTGTGAATTTTGGTCGTTTTATCGTTTTAATGGTTTTAAGAGTTCTGATCGTTAGGTTTTGTTTTATTTCATATAGCCGTACAGTTGGCTTGTGCATCATTTTTAATCGATCGATGATCGATTTATTTTCCGGGTTTATTTCATTCTGTAGTTCGATTTTTTTTTGTTCGTTTGCGTTTTATTTTTTTGCGTTGATTCAAAAAAATCTCACAAATGTTATGTGATTTGATGTTTTTTTTTATTGTCTCTTTCTATTACTAACAAGTTTTGTATTCTCTGTGAGCTAGCATCTTGCTCTTTATTACTAATCTACTGTATAGGAAAGCCCCTTTAGCTCTCTCCCCAAATCATGACCGGTATTTTAATCTGTATGGACCCGTCCACATTTCTGAATGAACATCATGATTTTAATAGTGAGCAATTATGTGTCATCATGTCTTACTCGAGTTTTGCGTTCCATTTTTGCGTTCAGTCGGTACATCTGTTTTATTGCCAATAATTACATCTCTTTCAAGAGTTAATCTATTTCTATAGCACGCCGCTGTGTTCGTCAGTTTTATCAGTTTTATTCCTTTTATAACTTATTGTTTCTAATTCTATTTGTGTTGTCTTCTAATAGAAAGGGTATACATAATGCCTGAACGTGAAGAGGAGCGGAAATCTATTTCTACTAGTGAGTAAAACATTTGTGAATACAATGTTTTTGAAAGTGTTCGAATTGCACTATTGCGTTGGCTTCATGCTGGCGCTGAACGGCACATTTCACGGAGACAGTTCATGGGCGCTGTTAGGTCTAATATGAATATTTAGATCTTAATTGACACATCAGTGAAGAAAAAAATGGTCAAACCGGGAGAAGGAGCCTTAAAGGCAGTTGGCACGGGTTTCCTTACTTAGCCTAAAATGCTAGTAGGGCGCTGTATAGTGGGGAAATGGCGAAAGAACGGAGTGAAACGGTCAAAATCCTGCGAAGAAAAAGCCTCCGTTCTCAGTGACTTGTAAATCGATTTCGGACGAGTTTCCCGTAGGCATCTTGCCAATCACCGCTACCGAAGATACGGCTGCATATGTGTACCCATGTATGCATGCAGCATCACGGCCGCTTCATACCAATCCCTTCGCTTCATAATTTGCTTAGCAAATGAATGAATACGAGTCAGGAACGGTCGTCCATTTGTGGGCGGGCGGGCGTTTGGGACGTAAAGTTGTGGCTTGATAGGGCCCTTATAAGGGCACCTTCCTCGGGGAAACCGCTATGCAGCGCCTGCCCAGGGTCGCGGAATTCTATCCTGCCAGGATCCTAGTCGCCTTGGGGGATTTATCGTGCCAACTGCCTTAAAATAAGCCTTCAGCGTTGGATGAGCGCTTGAGGAAGCGAAGCAGACCTGGCGAGGTGAGAGAGCGTAGGAATGAGAGCAGAAAGGCGAACTAGATGACATATACACATCCTTCATTGCCGATATTATGGCGGTTCCTACAAAGATACGAACGCAACGGTAACATCTGTGCGCTAGCGGAATTTATGTTAGGGTGTGCGCTGTGGCCGTCGTCTCGCCCCTGAATGGGTGGGCTCACTTTTACACGGTTGGGCCAGTCTTTTGGCGAAGGGTTAGCGAGATCCTCTTCACGGAATAGCTCCGCGGTGGGAACAACAAGGCTCGCTTTTTTTTCGCATGGAGTCTGCCATGAGCCACCGGTGGATCATAATGTCGTCAGAGTGTTAATTCTATCACTCTCCTTCGTTGCGCACCATATTCATAGGTGCGCTCTGTGAGCCACGACCACGAACAAAGTTGACGGGCTCAAGCTGATACTTGCGCTCAAAGTGAGCGGAAAAGGCGCAGGAGGGTAGTGATGCTCAGGCTGCCGTCTCTTGGCTTGTGCTCACGCTTATGTTTAGATTGCAGCACTGCAAGGATTACCCCGAAACGCACACGCGAATACGCAGTGAGCGGTTGATAATAAGTAGAAGTGAGAGGGCGCGGACGGGTAGCGCATTCGGCTATAGTTGATTTGTAGCTTTTTTGCTGCAGCTGCTTGGCTGGTGTTATGAAATTGATCTCTGCGTGTCACCATTCTCCGCTACCGCTTCCTAATGATCTGCTGGTAGACCTACACTGAAACACCTGGTTTTGAGCGACGAAAGTGACGCTACTGCAATCCACACACGTGAGCGTATAGCTTGTCTTTAAATATCCCAAAGTCTGGTACTTTGGACGTGACTCATCATCGTTGTGATGGCACTTAATAGACGAATTTTTTAGCGAGAGCAACCTCATTTTTTTGCTCCGCGTTTGTTACTTTGAATATTTCCAAATTTTTATTTGTTCACATTTGAATGCCTCCATTATTTGCACAGGACCACTTGTTTATCAGCAGTGCTGCAGTGTGAAATGTTTTGTACTAACCAATCAAGAGGGAATGCTTCACGCATTTGATTTCCATTTGGACCTGTCCACGAGCTCAGATGACTCAGAGATCACAACTATATGTATGGAACAAGTCATGACAAGCACCAGTTTAGGATATCATTCTGGTACACGGTACTCAGTCTCTGGTTAAGCCACCTTGGATTTCTGACTTGGAGCTGGAAGATGAGGAACGCAGCGATTCCCACGGTCTGAGACACGGTAGCAGTGCTGCTTGGGCGCGTTGAGGAAGGTGTTGTGTGCTTTCGTGGGGTAACACACTTAATTTCGCTCCTTATCAGGATAGAAGGCGTGGAATCATCACAAGAGCGGTTCGGAGGCCACTGTTCCATGTCTGTCAACGTAATTGCACTGCATTCTACTTTGCTCAATGAACAAAGACTGAATTATAAGTTCAGTAAAAGAGGGAGGATAAAGTACAGTTGTTGCGCATAAAACTGAGTGCGCAGGAAGTGTACTTTATACCACTCTACACCATTCAGTTATCGCCTAGGTAGCCCCTGCCCAGGTGGAAAACGGAATTAGCATCACTCTCGCTTCCTGGCCTTACCCTGAAACCTATTTCCCCCTGCGCTTGCGCTTACATCAGCCTTGCTCTGCAGAAGGTTTTTAACAGTAGCTAATAAACTTGGGTAAATGAACCGGCTCAGGGCATACCCAGAAGCTATGAGCCGCGGTTCAGTTACCCAAGTTTGTATAATCACAGAGCCGACAGTTTGATTCCACGCGCAAGTTTCGGGGGTACTGTATTACAGCCTGCTCTAGATGATCTTATAAATCTTGATAGGCTGCGTATGTAGTTACTTAGTCATAGATTTTCCAAAGTCCACTATCAGCTCGTGCAGAAATCTTTCCATGCAGAAATAGCTCAATTCGCAAGATTTAGGAGCTGTTCCACACTCGAAAGCGAGCGAAGAGTGTACGGTGGCCGCGGAGCGCCAGCTGTAGAGATTGTGGCAGCGATCTCATCGGCTTCCTCCTCTTCGCGTCTTTCTGTCATGTGTTGCTCACTAGGTCTCTCGACAGCGCAGCAGGTCTTAGCATCTATGGAGTCCAATACGAGCCTCAGTCCTGGTGTATTCGGCGAATTTTCTTCTCTGGTAATCCACGGTAATTCTCTTAGCATCTACGAATTTATATTTTGTATCAGAAACCCACGAATCGCAATTGCGGAATGTGTCTCCGAACGAACTAGGGTATTAATGTGTATTTGTTTCAAGAATTTAACTCGAAATTTTATGCGAGAATTGAGCATTAGTCCCTCTATTCGCACTTCATATTTAACTGCTACTATAATTCGGTAAACATAGTTATTACTCGGTGCACTATGAAATCAGGAGGTAAAGTACTTTCATCTGTAACCACCAGACGCAAGGATCGAGCAAATACTAATGAATGAGCTCGAAACAAGACTTGTACAACTTTTCGGTTGTACATTGAACTGTTTCGTCCGGAACTAAACTGTGAGTCTGGACCTGCGCAGCCTGCCGAAGAATGACATTCTTGAACAACAGGTCAAGACACTTTCTTGTCTGGTAGCGGACCAGACACAGAAGGGTCTCTTTGCGAGAGTTGGCAGCCTAGAGATGTTGAGAGTAAGATTAGGCGAGGTGTCATCTCGAATCACGAGCGGAACATGGGACTAATGGGCAGAGAGATCGCAAGTTGCCGGCTTTTCGCGCGCGCGGCAGTGAGCGCGACGTTTCCTTGACTTGCACCACCCTCTCGATCAGAGCGTTGGATTGGATTTCGCATAGGAAATAGTAGACACTTATGTCTATTTTTGGTCATACAGTCTATTCTCAACCAACAACACCTAAAATCGTCGTCATTAGCGGGCGCGACGTCGCACGCGACGCCCACTGATGCGGCGAATACGATTCTCTTGCCACATACCCAGGGCCGATAAGCTCACTTCCTCACTAGCTAACTTACCTTTCTCACTTCCTCAATAGCTAACATTGATAATACAAGCTACTCTCGTAAAAATCTACACTGAAGGGGTACGCGGCATTAAAATCGTACTTCGCCGCGCCAGTGGGCGTCGCGTGCGACGTCGCGCCCGCTAATGACGACGATTTTAGGTCTTATTGGTCGAGGATAGCCGACGTGACCGAAAATAGACATAATTATCTGCCATGTCCTTGTCTACGTAAAATCCGACGCCTAGTCTCAAAGACGTTGCAAGTTAAGGAA